TTTCCCCCCGGCCGCGCTACGCTGCCCCTTCTCCACATAGGTCGCCACCACTAGTCAGTAGTCAGTCCTCTAGCGCCAACGCATCGCCCAATCATCAACTGGGCAGGTAAAGGCCATGGCAAGGCAGCAAGATAGCAACACTGCGCCAACGTTTTCACCGAGACGCGTATGCGCAGCAGCAGCAGCACGAGCAGCTTTGCAGGGGCCAGCGTAGCGTAGAGTCCGAGTGGTCGCAGCAGCCGAGCTAGATAGATAGGAGTAAATCGATATGGAGATGACTGGCGATCGGTGAAATTTAGCTCCTTTTTGCGCGTGTTTGCATTGACCGCTGGCACGGAAAGAACCAACGAAGTATGCAAAGATGATGAGGATTAGGGGGTGGAAAAGGGTCATCGACGAGCTCTCTGCGACCTCGACACGGGGGAAAAGCGGGATCGGTCGGCTTATGGATGCGTGTCAGTGCTAAGTACTACTGTTTTGGTCCCGTTTTTTGACCTCCTTTAGGGTGCTCGTTCTGTCCCAGGATGGTTTGGTCACTCTTTTCCTTTGGACCGCGCTTTGCCGATCCATTCATCTCGATGCAAGTTAAGCTGTACTACTAATTCAGACTTGAGAGTTCAGAGCGCTCTTCTTTTGATCCTTCCCTCGCTTCGATAGATTGACTGATCATGGACACAATCAATCAATCCATTCATCTTTAAAGTGGTAACAAAATCTATAATGGCAGAAGGCCAATCTCCAAGAATATCTTTAACGTGGAAAGAAAAAACTATCCTAAATCTTCCTTATTAACCAAACTCTTTAGCACCCCGGCAAAGCACATTTTTCAGAAGCAATCTGCACGAATGACCAAGAAATCTTTGCCCCGTTTTGCCCTCTAGACTAGATTCGGGAAAATTTCATAGCATGCATGCTTTTAGTCATAGCACTCCTACCACTGCCACTTGTGCAACGTTTCAAACAATCCAAGTAAGCTTGTGGTCCGTCCGATCTGACGATCATTATTGGTGATAGATGTGTGAACCCCAGCATCAAAAAAGTAGCTGGGCTGCCAAGTACTCCGGAGTACATGGATCCATGATGAGATCGTCGCAGTGGTTGTACTAGGATCGCAGTCGCAGCAGAATGCTGCGCAAAACTTATCCTCAAGTAATAAAGAAGAGAGGGGGAAAAATGTAACAAAAACAAAAATTCCTGGCCTCTCCTCCAAAGATTTTCATGGAACGACGCTAAAGCCACTGGCGCTGTCCCCGTCTGCTGCAGCACGAGGATATGACCAAAACTCCAACAGTGTGCATGCTATGCTATGCTCGCAACTTTGCTTCTTTTTACGCCTACCCAGCACATTTAACTCCACTCTCACGTGAACAGTGTCGACCACGGCATCACAAAGGACGAGTTGAACGTGGAGTGCCGCAGAATCTCTCTAAAATGACCCATCACACATCTATACTAGACCATTGATGACGCGCGTTGTTGCGCCCATCTATTTTTAGTGTTCTATGATAGTGAGATAGAAACTTTTTGAAGTACACGGAGATAAGATCAATTATGAAAAATTCTAAAATAGACTGAAATAAGTTGTTTCACGAAGTAGCAAGTAAAAACCGAAAAGATACTAATATTATGTGGTACAAAGCTAGGATGGAGCTACATCTGCTTTCACTCACTGAATAGTAACCTTAAGCAAGAATTTGCAGAGAATGCAAGAATGCATAAGAGATATCATTGACTCACAGTTGTCATTTCAGTTTTTACCCATCTACAAGGAGAAAGATTTTAGATTGCAACAATTATTGTGAGGATGGAAGTAAAATCTTCATATTGTGATTTTAGCTTTGCATACATGATACATCTTTCCTGAGAAACATGTCCTCTGCTGGACGCTAACTAAATTGATAAGAGCACGTTTTTAGCACAAACACACTAAGACAAAATCCATTACTATTGATATCTCGATCATGTCATTTTTGCAAGAATAAAAAACTCACTACCCTAATCACAAGAGGGAATGAAGTCGGAAGTAGATATTTTCTCTACCTTCTGCAACTCCACAATATGGATGGCAACCCTATGGGCACAGGTACCGGTGAGTTCCATGGACATCCTTCGTTAGCTCGGTAACAATCCAGGCAGTGGCTCAATGGAAATAACAATCGACCGCTGCATCCAACACTGATGGGAAAGAAGACAACCAATCATCACATATTTTGTGCGTGAAAAAAGATCATCATGATGTTGCTACAAGTACAACCTTCAGAACAAGCAACAAAATTAGGAGATGAATAATTTCAACAAAGAATGAAGATAAGAATAGCCGAAGGTACAACACACTGACCTGATTTGCTAATTTTGCTGCACCATGTCTTGTTGGATGCTGGCCTCCTCCTCACCAATCAATCGATGCGATGGTCTTACTAAAATTGTATGAGAAGGAAATCATGGTGGCAAATGCAAAACTTAGGAAAGGAGATCAAGGAACCAAATTAAATTCTGAAAAAACCGGGCCTCGCAATGAAACCTTACAAGGGGGCAAGGAGTGCAGGAGGATCAAAGTTGGGATGCATCCAGATTTTGGCTCATGGTGAAGCTAAGAGTCACATAGGGGTCATATCCATCGCTCGGAAATAGGAGCAAGGCAATTGTCGTGGTCATCACTGTCGTGTTGCAACCGAGGTCAGCAGATGCCCCAGCCGATGAGGCACCGCAGCTGCCAGCGGTTGGGTCGCCTCGATGATCTGCTCCCGAATACAAGCTGGCACGCCTTGACTATCAGCGACACATCCTCGCCCACGCGGATCCGTCGCCCGCTCATCTTCGTGCTGATCATGGGAGTACGAGAAGAAATTAAAAAGGTTGTCGGTTTTCTCTTTCGCTTTTTTACAGTACGTGGTGGAGGACGGGGCGGTGGCGGTGGCGGTGGCTAAGCAGATGGAAGGCAAGTAGCGGGAATTGCGGCATTTACGGTGTCAGCCCAGTCCGTCGCCCATTCTGGAGCGGAAGATGATCTGCGGCCCATGCGTGCATTGACCAAGGCATCTAACGGCAAGGAACGCCTAAAACAGCCGATCCAATTGCCAAAATTGCTAGTGCTTTTCCACACCCATCCCGTGTTGAGTCAGCAATAAGAACATACACAGTGGAGGAGTGGAGATACAGAGGGCATGAGCCTCCCCCGTCGTTATAATCTGATTGTTTCAGGGCTACTGTGTAACCAGACCATCAAATTAACTACTCACAAATTCCCTCGCACAAAAATACATACAGATTAACCAGACCCCAATTTCAAATTTTCCAATGAGAGCATGAGGGGAAGGAGGCGCGGGGAAGCTTGGGTGGAATACTTCTGAGTACAGACTGGAACACGGGGCATCTGCACAATCTCTAATCAGATTAGCAACAACCGGGTCAGGCCAGAGGACGAGCGAGACAACGGGTTGGGTCAGGAGGAGGTGGGAAGGAGATCTTGCAGGTGGCATATTGAGGTAAGGTGACGGCGATGCTTCCTGGCTGCTACATCCGCCTCGTCGCTTCCAAATTGATGGACAAGCGGGACAGGAACGGATGTACTCGCTAAGGATCTTCATGCTCGCCAAGTATTCCTCCTTTTCTGCCGGACGGAGTGGTGGCGAGAGAGGGCTGGGAGCCTGGGAGGGATCTCGGCCGCCACGGACATCTCTAGATCACAAAGGAAGCGAGGCGGCGCGGGGAGGGCGTCGGGCGAAGGGAGAGGGGTGGTGTTTGATGCTTTTTTTCCTTGTGATGTTTATTAGGGCTTCATGCGAGATGACCCAATTAACCACAGCCCCCCAATTTTGTCGCGGGAGTAGCTGCCCACTCCAATCGCGAGAAGTAGTGCGGAAGACTTATGTTGGACGGTCGAAAACGCTGAAAAACTATAGATCCGACGGCTGTGGACGCTAATGCCCTGAGATGGCTGGATTAGTGCTCAGTTTTAATGTATTTAAATATACACTGTACATCTTCAAAAATGTGAAATGGAGGCCGAACTCCATGAAGGCCTTAATTTGAAAACTTTAAAATCCAAAATTTTCAGTTTAAGAAATTCTAAAAAATACAAATATATCTACAGACATGATTTAAATGTGTGTTAATTTTCAGGTTGAAATACGTTAAAACAAGGGCTACACAAAAAAGGCAAATTTGTGGTTTTTTAGCATATGTATTGTTTATCTTTGTGCAGCTCTCATTTTAAGGTATTTCATCCTGATTTTTTACACACATATAGTATACATGCATATTTTTTCAAAAAAAATTTGCAAATTTTGAATTGTTTGTGATTAAGGTCTCCATGTAGCCCAGTCTCCAAAATGCCCTATCAAATTTTGCATTTCAAAACGGTTTAGATTTATTTCAATTTTCTTTTGTTGTGATGTTCATTCAGTGGAAGACGGCATCTCATTGACTACGAAATGCATGTGGTGACTTCGTGGTTCTGAACCAGATTATAGGGGTGAGTGTAGTCCACGATTATTTTTATCTCGCGAGAAGAAATCCATCGTGTTTACATGATTATTAATCAAAACCGCTTTCCACTTTCAATCAGCTCGAAAACTTTTGTACGTACTCCATGGACCCGTAAACATCCACCGATGACGATAGAAAAGGCCAATCAAACACAACGAATCACGAGGAAAGGGCAACATGCAACACTTTTCCCCCCTTTTCTCTTTTCGCTTCCTTGTTAACATTCCTTCTTTTCCCATTGACCGCTTGCCTGCTTTGCTTTGCTTCCGTTCGAGAAAAAACACGATCCAAACCGCTTTGTATGGAGGCGGCAGCCATTTCCGTCGCCCAAGTTGAAACGGACGCGGCTTTTGGCGCATGCCACGAAAGCAGCGGCCCCGGAAGAAAGCCCGGCCTATTTAAGCCCCGACGCCGGCCGCGTGGGAGGAGTGGAGACGGAGAGGCCACATCACTTCACTCCCAGACTCCACTCCCGGTCACCTCACGCGGACGGACGGACGCAGACGCCGCCTATGGCGCTCCAGAGCTGCCACCACCACGACGACTGCCGCGTAGCCCCTCCGTCTCTCCCGGACTGGGGCTGGGAGTGGGAGTGGGACTGGGAGGAGCTGGTGCGCTGCCAGCTCGGCGACGCCGCCCGGGACGGCATTCATGGCGCCCTCCCGGCCTTGCCCTCGTGTAAGAAACCCACCGCTAACCTTAACTTCACTGCGTGCCACGCGAGACTAGTCTAGTCTACTGCCACACGCATGGAATCCCACACGCATACGTACGTACGTGCCCGTGATGGTGCTATGCTGACTTTGGCCGTGTGGCACTGTGGCTGGTCTAGTCTAGAGGCATTGGCTGTGGGGTGTGGCGGTATTTACTGAGCCTTCGATGTTTGCGGCGCAGTAGGTGGCGGGGAGGAGGAGTCGCCGGTGTCGTCGTCGGAGGCGTCAAGCGGCGGAGGCGGATACTTGGAGGACGCCGTCGCGCAGTGGGGCGACCGGAGCAAGCGGCAGAGGACGGCGGCGGCAGAGGGTCCGCCGCGGTGCCCGGCCATGGCGAGCGAGGACCTGCAGTGCCTTCTTCAGGTGAGCTCTCGCCCCACTTCCCATGGCGGATGATGATGATGATCTGCAGAACCTATATGCATGTCCACTCGCAATAGCTCTGCTTCAGTATTAGTACCACAGAAACTTTGGCATCATCAGTTCATCAGCTACAAGTAGAAGAGCATTGGCCGTGCGATGAACATTTTTCAAAAAACATTGAAATTTTTAACCCGAACCCTGTGTAGAAATGTCTATTTTGCTTGCTTTATTATTATTAGGTGTCTGCTGTCACGTCAACGAGAGTACATACACTCTCTAATTATTAATCCTGGGTAGGTAACAACTTTAGACAACAAGCACAGTTAATTAAAGGTTGTAACCTCACCGTCACTGTCACGCTCACGCTAAATGACGTGAAAAAGAAAGTACTACTGGTTCGGTCGTGTCCGTGTCTCCTCGCAGAGAGCGGCATGCTGTCCTGCTCCTCCCCTTTCTCTAACCCGTCGTCTTGTGCTTGTCTCTTGCTCGGCACGACGCGAACGCAGAGCTTCTGGGATCCCAGCAGCGGCGAGGGAGCCCTCCTCCATGATCTCAACACCATGACCCCGGCCCCGGAGACCAGCGGCTTTCTCTCAGGTGATTAAGCCAAACTTCCGTCTCATTCGTGGTAACAGCAAAAATCCTAGAGCGCATTCATGATTCACTGGAAGCTCTGATGGCAGTGCGCACTCTGCTGTAATGCTGTATTCAATAACTGCTAAATGGAGCGATGTTGTCTTTGCAGAGGAGGGCGCCGCATCGGGCAGGGGGCAGCGGCAGGGTGGGGAGGGGGGCCGGAGCGCGGCAGCGGGGCAGGGCGGGGGCGGGGGAGAAGCGGCGGCAGGGCCCCCTCCGCCCTTCTCCGCCACGGCTGCTGCTCCCCGGCCACCGCTGCAAAAGGCAACTACAGGGAGCGGCAGCGGCAATTACTGCGAGCCGGCGACCTCCTCGTCCTGCTCCTCGCTCGCAGGTGGGTGTGGGTGTGGCCGACCGGCGAGCAATTAGTACTCGCGCATGTGTGCAACTGAGCCACTGAACTGGCCCTGCGGCGCCAGGGGCTGGTGCTTCTAGGATGGGCCGCCATCTTTTTGTTTGACGTGGGTGGCAGGCTGACGACGGTTTTTTCTTTCTTTCTTTTCTCTGGCGCAGGGAGGAGGAAGGAGGGGGTGCTGTACCCGTTCGCCGTGGTGAAGCCGCTGGTGCTAGACGGCGACACGCTGAAAGATGTTAACCGGAGGATCCTGAAGCGGCCGGCGAGGCCGGTCCGGCACCCCGTCGGCCAGTTCGCGTGCGGCCCCGTCGTGTCGTCCACTAACCGGCCGGGTCTGTCCGGGAAGGCGGTCGTCAGCCTCACCAAGATCAGGACCGGAGGGAAGGGCACCATCACCATCATCAGGACTAGAGGCTAGGCTGACTGACTATGGTTTTTCAAGAAGAAGAAGAAGAAGATGGTGGAGCGGATGGGTTAGATGAAGTGGACAAATCTACTCGTCATCACCTAGTTCTTGTATATACATAGGCCTTTCCCTAACCTCTTTGAAAATAAGAAGCAGCCTTAGCATTACAGTGTGTTTGGTTCGTGGAAACCAGAGATGGGGAACGAGAGTTAAGAGCATCCACAGCCAGATACATCAAATTCAGACCCCTTAAACGACCGTGTACGTATTCAACACCTCGATTACGAATCCTCACATCCATACAATTACACGCACGTGAAACCTAATATCAAGCGGACCCGTCCGGCTCAGCCGTGCCAATGTCTGACGGCTGGCTGTGCTTCTCGAAGTGTTGGTGCAGTCGCCGGCGAGGTAGAGTAGGACATGGGACACACACCGACTCATGAGATTCGAGGCGCGTCGGCGTCTCTCATGCCCTACTCTTCCTCGTCGGCCCGTCGCCTGCATGTCGTCGGTCAATGTGAGGTTGACGATGGATCTGTCATGACGGAGGCTGACAAGTCCACCGCGACGCGGTTGTGGCGCCCAGGGTTGCAGGCTATCCATCTCGACGCCGGAGAGTGCAACTCCGTCTCGCCGACGTCTGCTGCGAGGACTGACGCGTCCTCTGTCTGGCATAGCGGGCACGCCGCGCCATATCCTCGGTGGACGTGCCATGGATGGCCTCGTTGTTGGCTTGCCAACAAAGGGGTTGCGCATCCGTCACGTCGTTCGAATGCCAGACGGAGCGCACCGCCTCCAGCGAGACAAAGGCGACAAGTCTCGCTTCGGATCCACACGCCATTTGGGCGCAGGCAATGGATTCCTGACGGATCAAGTCTGACCGCTGTCAGGCATTTTCCTCGCGCGCGGGGCGGAGCGCAATGTGAACGACCATCTCCTCCTCACGCCCGACTAGGATGAGGTCACAGTTCACAGATCCGCTGACTGAATGCTTGGATCCGCTGCCAGCCATGCCGGAGAAGGCCGAATATCGCCAGAAGTGAGCATGGGGGACGAGGGGAGGGGAATGGAGTGGCTAGGGTTTGGTCTGGGAACCAGATGGGAACGAATATATATAGGGTCAAGGTGGGCCAACATGGACAGAATCCGACGTGGCGGACACACCCGGTCCTCCCATGTCTATCTTAGATTTAGGTTGGATATGAGGGTGTCATTCAGCCCCGATGCTTAAAGCCGTTTCAAGGAGCCCGGCTGGGTTCCTTCTTCTTTTACCCGGCCGTCCATGGCGGGCATTTGGAACAGGCATGAGGCATCCGGCTGTAGATGCTCTTAAAGGGTGTGAATATTAAAAATCCACCGTGGTAAGAGAGTGAGAGTTGAGCGAAACAACTACTGCCAATTTCTTTCATGAGCGGGTTTCCATCCCGAATTAATTCTCACCGTGTACGAAACAAAGAGAATGAGACTAATATAAAAATCTACTCCTTCGACCTTAGTGGATCGGAGGGAGTATTCCCCATGTCTAATCCGCTCCCACCTTGCTCACAATTTGGCATCTGGACTTCTGGAGACTGCATTGCGTTGCCAGTCAGTGTATCAATCTCCCTATCTCAGTATCGTGTCTGAGTACCAACCAGACATGAATTGTGAGTTCGTAAAAAATACAACCACTGTTGTGTACCTAGAACCAAAGCTCTGACGAGGCTGATTGAACTGTGCACGCCCAGGCGAGCAATAACAAGCCAACAACCGTGTGTGTGTGCGCGCGCGCTGAACTGCTGAACTTCTGGTATCACTGCAAATCGGGACCATCAAGTAGGGCGATATCTGTCTACAGTATATGCACAGGTGAAGCGTTGGTACGATACCACATGGTGTGGTGCATACAACTTTACCCTCTCAAAAATACAGTAGATTTCATGCAATAAAACCCCAGAAACGCAGCACTTCTGATGAAGCAGGTTGCTTCCCATTTCTTTGGCAATTAGACCCATCTCCCAATGCTTACTACTCCCTCCGTTCCTAAATATAAGTCCTTTGAAGATTTCTATATGAACTACCTACGGATGTATATAGACATATTTTAAAGTGTACATTCACCCATTTTATTTTGTATGTAGTCTCTAAAAAATATAAGACTTATATTTAGAATCGGAGGGAGTATATGTGGTGCCCCATAGTGATGAATGGAGCAAAACCTAGGCAGAATTATGAACCCAATTAACAGTCGTGAAGGAATGCACACCCGTCGACTAACCATGGTACCTCCCGGCATTGGTCGTCGACGTGATTGGAGCTTCCACCCTCACAAGCACACATCTGGAGACTGCATTAGCTTGTGCCCCCTACCAACCTGCCATGAATTTGAGTTCGTAAAATCCTGCAACCTTTGCTCGACACCTAGGCTCTGACGAGCATGATTGAACTGTGCAGGCACAGGTGAGTAGTAATAAGCCAACAACCCTGCGCACTGAACTGAACTTCGATATCGCTGCAAATTGGGGCCAACCGGGACCAACAGTACTATACCTGGCTACCGTATATGTACAGGTGAAACAGCGGTACCACATGGTGTGGTGCATACAACTCATTGCATGCAACAACCCCATCAAGTCGCAGCACACATTCCTAAAAACATTTGAAGTCACAGCACACATTCACTAGCTGAAACAGCCCGGTTAACGGTCAGCGGGCGCACACTCGTCATCTAAGCCACGGCTTTTCCTTTTCCTTTTTATTCCTTTTTCTTGGTCTCTAAGATCTAATTAAATGGATCAGTTTGATCATTGTAATATGGAGTGGCATTCTATTGTTTCATCAGTTACACGCAGAACCCAATGCCCTTCAATTTAGTTCAACCAGGAGCCGACTCAGGTTAGAGCAAAACTAGTGATGTTACAAGCGAGTGATGTTACAAATTTGCAGAGAAACCAGGCATTCAGCAAATTAAGGTTTTCTTTTGACAGACAGGATCCTGGGATACCTCACGAGGCCCGCTTAACCTGATTCAGCAGAACCATAAGAAAAATGTAAGATGTAGCCGGGCAAAGAGAAAACAGGAAACCGTGCCCCCTGCAAAATACATCACTTGCCTGAGGTTGCAGTAATTTTGCATTTTGTGAACATGAATCTCTAGCATCTTTTGTTGCTCCATTCTTGCAAAACAATCTGAACACCAAATTTGTATTCACTGTGCTTTGTAATTGCCTTCAGCAGTTGCCATAAGACATTTTCAGATTGATTATGTCCTGTGGTTTAAACAGCCTAGTGAAGCCATTGTGTAACTTCAATAACCAAGGATCACATGGGAGTATTGAAGTGGCAACAAACCTGGCAAAAATGCCTTGGAAGGAACAGAAAGTAAGGGACAGTTAAACTCAGCAACATTGACGGTCCAAAGATGTAGCCGTTTATAAGATGCATCCAGATCTCATTGGATGCATTATGAGCTCAAGACTGCAATGTAGAACTGACACTGGTTGACGGCTGTGATCTTGGAAACTACAAGCTCAAATGATTGCCATGAGGGACAGATTTGGAATTCTGAATACGCATATAATCATATGTCATCTTCATCTTGTAACAGTATCTCATAGATATCAGTGCGAATGAACAATTCCTTGCCATGCATTACTTCCTGGAGATCTGATAACTCTTTCATAGTCAGAACTGAGCTCAATTTTTGGAATCCATCAAGCCATAATCGTTTAGACCTGCGAAGTACAGAGTGTTAGACACTTAGATGCCAAACACAATCATCCATAACAATAAAATTAAACTACAGCAAGTCTAAGCCCAAGAGAAATATGGGAGAATACACAAGTCTAAGCCCAAGAGACAATAAAATACTCCCTCCATTCGGAATTACTTGTCACAAAAACGGATGTATCTACAACTAAAATACATCTAGATACATTCATTTCTTGGACGAGTAATTCCGAACGGAGGGAGTATAAAGTTTAAATAGTGGCTGCTAAGAGAAATATGAGAGAATACACATGGAACAAAAACCACTTACATATTCACATGAGAAAGCAAAGAAAAGAAAGCAGAAGCTGCTAACATTTCATAAACTACTCAAATTTTGTGACATCGCCAACCAAACTTGGAAACGCTGCTTCTCTAACATGCACTTCATTTAGAATACATGCTCATTATTCTTACATATTTATATACAAGGGATTGAGTGGATAGCAATAAGTAAAATGACATCATTAAGCTCTGATATCCATGTTTATGTGACTCACATACCATGGGCAAGCATGTATAGCTCTGAAGAACACACGTCGTGCCGCAGAAGTATTACAGGCTATCTCTGCCTCATAAGCTAGATAACAGCGCCACAACAGAACAGACTTCTGTAACTTATCATCAGCTAGAGCTCTCTCAAACAGACTGTGGATTCTATTGTAAGATCCTGCTTTACTCCATTCAAAGGACAAAGCGAACAGCAAGGCAACTATGGAAGGGTCCCTGTTGAAAAAATAATCAGTCAATAGAAAGCAGCACGTCCATCTACAGACATACATGCACGCAACAAAATTGCATGAAGACAATAAAAGCTCGTTTATATTATTTGCATGTTTAAACACCATATATGAGTACAGACAAAAAAATATGATAGAGGATCCACATTAAAGGAGAACTAGATGGGCATATCCTTTAGAAATTATATTCATATCACACTATACTAGATATACAACAGAGTGTTTTCATGGAAACAAAGCACCCTTACCTTTGACTGCATTTGTCAAGTGTAAGACGCAGATTGTTGGGAACACTGTAAAGACAGCTCAGAGTTAACATGGATGCATATGATTTTGGATTGTACGGATATGTTTGTACTCCTTCCAATATGCTCGGCCAAACCCTTGAGAGACTCAACTGGTTCAGATTCTTCTGAAGCAGTTTGATGTAATACATCCACAACTTTTCAAATTCCAAGGTATGGCTCTCTGAAAAAATCAAGTTCACATAATAAGAGAATGCTTTGTTGAATGCAAATTTGA